TAAATACAATTAATTCACATTACTTATCATGGTCAGAATTATATTAACAATTGGACATAATGAATAAAAGTGCTTTGGAAAAGGTTTTTAACTGCTTGCGGATTTATAAATTCGTTTGTAGTTCAGCAAAGAATTTACTGCAGATTTCTGTCATGTGGATCATTCAAGCTTATAAACAATTTAAATTAAGAAAATTACAGGTTTCATGTATTTTAGAAAAGCTTTGTACTTTTAATTGCATATTCATTAGAACATAGTAATTAAAACTAGTTTGTACTGAGTCTATTAATTGTTTTTCGCGTAAGATAATTTTGAGGCCTTATTTTATTAATTTAAGTAATAAATGCACAGCGATTTTAATTTCAGATGACAAACCTTAAAAACACTTTGCTTGCGGTAAATTTAATATTAATACCAAATACTATTAATGAACCTTTTTAAAAAATACAGTTGCACTTCCGATTTTATAATCTTGATGCATAATTGATGAAAATCCTTAAGATGCACTACAGAGGGTATTTACACATTTTTAGAATGAATTCTATAAAGAATTTTTAAAAGAATCAATTGTTTTGGAATAAAAATTTCTCGCAACAGCTTATTTGAAAGCAGAAATATCGCCTGCTACTTTTAAATTTATTCTTTTTTTAAAATACCTCGTGTAAACAAGCTGTGTATTGAAGCATATGTTTTTACGCTTTCCGAAGAGAAATATTCCAATTGTATAATTCAAAAACGTTTACAAATGCATGGTTTTAAAATTCCTAAGTGCAAAATAAGCAACATTTTTAACAGAAAAGGGAAATATCCTCAGACATGACTTCTATGACAAAACGTTCCCAAATAACTACCCTAAAAAGATACTAAATTTCCTAGAGGAAATCTGCAGACTCACAAATGAATCGCAAAGTGTTTAAATTTATATTCGTAGTCGACAATAATAAAGCAAAATTTACAATTTAAAAAAACTAAAAACATAATGTTCAGCAGCTTTTGCCGAGGCATGTGGCTCAACGCTGGACAATTTGTAGAAGCCCATATGAAAACTATTTAGCAGAAAAGAAACAGAAATACCTTGTGACTCTTGATAAAGAATTTAAGCTCCATTTATTATTGAAAATGAAGAGAAAAAATATGCAATCCTGGTTCCGTCAATATAAAGAAAATTGAGTAAGGGTTTTATAATTGTCGCAGGATTCTCTTAAAGTGGGAAATTAAAAATCACAAGAATGAAAAAAAGTTTAAAAATCAACTCAACGTCCTATCAAGAGAATGTTTTACCCGGTCTTTGCAGAAAAAATTCTATTTCTTTGTCACAATGACGTTCAAAGCCTGAAATTGCATCAAACAAAGCAAACTTGTCATACTTGGAAAAGTACCACTGCATTCCTTGCAAAACAGATGAACTGATACAAGTCTTGCATATATATACCTTTTCAACATACTCCTGCGAAGTTGCCTGAAGTTTTACTTTGGACTATTTTAGGTCTTTCGTCTGTTGAAAAGATCTCTTTTTAAGAGCAAACCCACCACGGTTGATGGACTCTGAAAAGTAGTGGAAGAGGAATGGAAATGCATAACTCCAAAAATTTTACGAAAAACTCTCGTCATGAAAATCATGATGCAGACTTAAAGACTAGAAAAAAAATAGACTATCAGATCGAATATTTAAAAAAATACTCTTAATGTTTGTAAACTCATTAGGAATTTTCGAAGTAGGAAACACGAAAATGAGCAACGCCCTCGCCGGAACTCGAACCTGGACCTCTCGAATCGCGCCCAGTGTGCTACCGTTACATCACGAAAGCATGCACAAAGGAGGGAGAAAATACCTTTCTGGTACCCTTATATACGTATTTTGCCTATTAAAGGACGACTGGCGATTAGGGGACCAATCGTCAAATGCTGGTGGTGAAGAATCACCATCCACTACCTTTTAGTTTGGATGCCAGTGTACAGTCATTAGGATCTTTTAATACAGGAGATGTGGAATGCCCTCGCCGGGACGCGAACATGGACCTCTCGAAAACGCGCCGGATGTAGTTAACTTTAAACACTGAAGTAGCCTGACGGCAAACACACGCCATTAAGGAATCCTTAACTCTTCAGCTGAAGTAAGCAAAACCTTCCTTTAAATACTCTTTCTACCACATTTACATATAACGCGATACTAAAAACTTATTCTGGTAAGGAATAGTAGGTGGGGAACGAGAATAGACAGTAAAGCATGTTTAAAAATTTAAATAACTGTTAGAAATTTAAAATAACATCTACACATTTTAAACATTAATTGTATGGCCCCCAAATCATTCTAAAATGCGTAAACATCCACTGCATATTAATAGATATATACACATGGATCACTCTTATAAAAATAAGTTATTACTGAAATAGAATGCTTTTGAAAAATCATTTTATATAAAATATATTTAGGATGTATTTTGAGTCTATTTTATTATCATTTAATGTAACAGTCAAAAGCAATTTTTGAACATTCAAAAGAAAATGATTTTCAAAATATTTCATACTAACAAAATGTTTAAATGTGTAAAGAAAATGCTCAATTATATTACATAAGTTACAAATTATCCTAAATTAGCCAATCACATCAAAAGGCTTTGAAGGGCACGAAAAGAAAGATTGACAATAAAGCATTGGTCTTACCTGTGCAGTGGTTTAATTCATTATAGGGAATCCATCTGAAGGGGACATCTGGTTGGCCAGTGGACAGATGGTCTTGTATTTGACGTCATGAGATAAACGACAGGAAGTGGTGATTTTTTCGCCCATTTTTTTTCCCGAAAAGTCTATTTGGTTCTGTTTGAATATCGGATGTCGACTTATAGTTTGGGTTAATTTTGAGATAAAACGTATTGTTACTCTCGCTGATCTCAGATCAAAAAGCCATTATCTTGTTTTCCATGTATTTTAATGAAAGAATCATCATAATTACTTCTTTAATGATCTTCTTACTTAATACGTTATTAATACAAATTATGATAGATAATAGTAAATTAATTCATTTTAAATATTATGATAGTTTATTATTATAATAAATAATACATTGTAACCAACAAGCGATGTTATCAAAGTGAAAAATCAGCAAATATATAAATACTTTTTTTTAATCGCAGGATAATCTATTAAACAAACGGTTTTAAGCATTTTAAATTGTTTACCATCCAGAGAACTTAAGAGATTACAGTTAAAGCCACACCATATATTTAATTATTACATTAAATATTTGTCGTGCTTGAAAATATGCTTATGAACGTTAACGGGAAATTTTAAACGTTAATTCTAAAAGTTCCGAGTGCAATAAAATAAGAAAGTCTTTTTTCTCGTGAGTTAATTACTGGCTAAAATCCATGCAATTTCCCAAACATGAATATCATAAAATAAACCATGAAGCTTAAACTCTTTTGTTATTTAAAAAAAAAACATTTTGCATATAACTTTTTAATAAGTTATACTATTGTAAAGAAAATAACTTATGTGACTTTATAACGCATTTTCTCCCTCCTTCCACGCCTTCGTAGTGTAACGGTAGCACACCGCACGTAAGGTCCAGGTTCGAGTCCCGGCAAGGACATTCCACGATATTCTCTCCTTCCTTCCAGCATGCCTTCGTGGTGTTATGATAGCACACTCGGCGTGTATTCCAGAGGTCCAGGTTCGAGTCTCGGCGAGGGCATTGCACACTTTTCACATTTCCTGCTTCAAACTAAGCTAATGACTATACAATTTTACGAAATTTATGTAGAATACTTTTATTACTAAGCAGGAGAAAGAATGCATACTTCTTTTAGTGAATAAACTGTTTTTATTCTTGTATAGGAAAGTAAAATGAAATCAGTAATTTATGATCAATTTTCCAATGAAAAATTGCTCCTAGATTTCAGAAGGGCTTAAGAAGTAACTCAGTATTTACTATTATTGGATAGCATACTGTTTAAATCACCTGTAGGTTCTGGCTATGTTTTCATTGATTCTTAATTTTATTATGGAAAGGCAGGCAAAGACTATCTGCTTAAAGTGAGGGTTGCCTTCGTAGAAAATTATTAGTATCCACGTTACATGCGACCAACCCGTTCACTAGGATCTGAAGCCGGGTCGAATTAGCAGTGTTCAGTCATGTTTTCCCTCGGCTGCTGGTGTGCCCATCTCCAGAACTATTCTTCTATCATAATCGACATCGAATATATGGAATTTTGAATATTTTCTTTCTCCTCGGTGTTAAATCATCTCATTTAGGGCACTTCAGTTCTTACCATTCGCTTGCTTTTTATTCCTCTTTAAATCAAGTTTTTCTTTCCATGTGTTTCAGATGGTATGGTTCTACTCACCCCCGTCGCATCCCTAAACATCAGTCGACTTATTTAAATTCATGGGTAAAAAGACGGAATATTCTGTCTTTATTCGTCGAATATTTATAAAATTCTTTGTGAAAGTGGTTTTTCACTTATTAGACAAACACCAACACAGAACTCTAGAGAAACACTGAAGAAAGAAACAAAAAATTGCGCCATTTGAGTTTTATTACTGTGTACGAAAAACAAAATTGCATCCCGTTATCTTATTATTGTGAAAAAAATCGTAACTCTCAGTTTTCGGTGACGGAAATTATTGCTCACGCTCATTCGCCTCTCAGTTTTTCTTTTAATTAAGAAAAGAGATACACTCCTCACCTGTCATGAACTATTCCACAAGGATTACAGATGTAAGTAAATAACTCACAGTGCAAGGAATTCAACAGTAAAAACACAAAATCTAGGCCTGGACAGAGCAAAGAATATATATATATATATATATATATATAAATTCACATTATTTATGAGTTAAATGAAATTTATGGAAAGTAAGTAAACGGTAAACCAAATAACATAAAAATTTAATAAAAATAGGTAAATTAATAATAAAAATTTAAAAATTCATCAGAATTAAATGACATAATAAATCAATTGAAAGATCAATAAATTAATTAAAACAAAACATCATACCGAGAGCAAAAGGAAGTTCAGTACTCTGATAACTTTCCAATGCTGATAATACCACACCAAGGGTAGAGCCCCATGCTGAAGGATTAATGATACGCTTCTCGCTGCTTGCCGTGAGATTAGCCTTACTTCATGTAACCTTTTGCATATTTGAGAGGACATAGAAACACCTGCTGAAAATCAAAAGCAAGTTCAAATGCCACCTGTCATGACAAACCGTTCCGATTAGACGTTCGCCAGCTCTGTCGGTCTGTGCGATATGTTGTACCAGCGCTGTTTTGTACGTTGAGATACCATTCCTCATTCGGAATATCCCCAAAATATTTCTTTATTCCTGATGTCTCACATCCTTGTATAGTATTCACATCTCGCTGCGTATTACACGCATTAATAACACAGACCAACTAAATGCATTAATTACTCAAGATTATGTAACTTAGGATCTTGTCTCGTTCTCTGGCTGTTAACTAGTGATTATTCAGGTTACTAATATTGCGTTCCATACTTCAGAAATTTTCATTTCGCTATGATCTGAGGGAGTTTTCTTTAAAAATGTCTCTATGAAGCCATCCCTCCTCTTAAACCGATAGTCCTCGAGTGTTTTGACATAAGCTAAATAAATCAAACCAAATATTTGGCTATGCAGAGTCTTTCATGACGTTGCGGTTTAACTTTTGTGGATGTAATAAAATCAAACTATTTATAAGAAAACGCGTTTTTAACAAGTGTACTTTCGAACTAAATTACCAAAATAGCACAGCGGGATGTTTTCCCTTTGTAACATTATTTTTCCTCTCCTAATCATAGAAAACAAAAAAAGAAGAAAACTTGCAACTGGAGACTAAATTAGAGAATTCAACAAATAAAAATTCTACAGTACGAACAAATCGATAGATTTCATTAATATTTTTTAAATATTATAGTTTAATGAAACACATTAATCCAATGATACGCTTGCATGTGTATGTTGTATTTCTCCTGTCTTTCATTTAATCATATTGTTGCATTCTACGGGTTCGTGGATTTGGAGTGATTGATGGCGACACTTCATGAAGAATAAAAACATAATTTATTCCTCAGTATTACACAAGAGAGTTCTAGAGACACGTTTACAGTCGTCGAAAAATACTCTGAAACAATCAGCAATGCAGCCTTCAGGCTATCAGGCTATAACGGCGGCGAAAACGACTTCACAGCAAAGCATTAAAGTACACTTCCGACTCGGTCGATCGCTCTCGAGCTAATCTCTGAACTAAAGACACTACTACCGAACTCAACATACTCTCAAGATAAACTCCGCGACATATTCCGCGTACAAGCAGGGTTTATATAGCTTTTGACATGACTCTGAGAACATTTTCGGGAAAACCGGTAAGAATTCGTTCTAGAGTGTTCTCGCCAGTCTATAGCATATCGCCAATTTTGTTGCCAAATATCGCCAAATAGGGGATTTCGCGCAAAATCTGGAAGCCTTACCTTTCTTTGCCACTTTCTGGCAACTCTAAGTTGTATGCGGGAAAGCTATTTTACCGCATTTCGTAATAATATCATTGAGCAATTAAAAATTCTTCACATATATATGTGCTTTAATTAGTGCAGCAAGTTAACTAGGGTGCACGTTAAAAGCTTTTAATTTAAAGGATTACTTTGGTTTAAAGGATTACTTTACTTATTCAATTATGGTAATGCATCGAAGGATATCTATCTGCCTGAGGAGAAGAATGCCTTTATGGACATAATGGAGGATTCGCTGACATCATGGAGGATGCATTTTAAAGTTTAAAGACCTAAAATGAAAGGAGTCTTGAAATTATTTGAAGTTAACTTTGTGAAAATACTTTCCCATCTATCTGTGAAGCAGTGACGATATGTATGAGTGTAAATAATTTTTATTACTTTCTATATATAGATATTTACACACCTATACAAGCTCATACACGCACACTACCGTAAAGAAAGAGGTTCAGGGAAGTTTGTAGAGACATTAGTTAGTTTAGAAGCAGGAAAGATGAAAAATAGCAACCCCCTTCGCCGGAAATCGAACCACTGACCTTTTGAAATACCGACTCAGTGTGCTGACCACTACACCACGAAGGCATGCTAGGAAGGCGGGAGAAATACCTTAGAAGTTTATTATTACTATTACATTACACAATTACTCGAATTACACTACACCATGATTTTATATATCAACTTCGCAACATAAAATATTCTTTTCCTGTAAGAAATTCGTATAATAAATTTTATACGCAACTATCGTAATAAGTTTTATAAATCATCGAAAATATTACCCAAAATAACTAAGATCGACTTCTCTAAATTAGTTAATCTTTTCCAACAACTTATTTAATTATTTCTGTCTCTTAGAAACCCCAGTCGCATCAATTCATCTTCCTAAAGCAAAATTTCCTTTTTCCAATTAAAAGCTGGACTTAGTCAACACCTTTATCTCTTGTGCCAATAAACAGACGCGCAGCGCGTTCAATTCGAAAATCTGTCTCGTGTCCGAATCACTCGTCTTGGACATAAATGGAACCAATCCCGGTTGTTCTAATCCTGATGCCTGTTTCTCGAGATAAGAAAATATTTTGGGGAAATTTTGTCTGAGGATTACTGGAAAGGCATAATGATTAGTTAACCCAGTACTAAATACCGAGTAAGTGTGGGCGAGCTATTAACCTTAGAAGGTATATAAGAGGCAAAATCTTTCAGACGCCGAATCTTGAGTATTTCTGACGGCTGGAGAGACTTTAGGAATTCCTTACTACTTTCTTTCATGAAAGGTATGTTATTTTAAATATTCTTACTATGCAAATAAATGTTTTTCGCTCCTTTCTGATGGATTTGAGTTTTATGAATGCAATTTTATAACTGTATATAAAAATATAATTTATTTAGAATAATAACATATGTCTAGCTTTAATTAGAATAATAACACATTAACTTTTCATATTTGGAACAGATAAAAAAACGCATTGAATTCAAGCAGTTTTACTGTACTACCAGTTTCGAATTATATATAAGAACGCTATAGCTATCTTTGTGATTTAATATTTGCATTATGGATTTAGTTAGCAATAAATACAATTGCGCTGCAGATCTCTTAATATTATTCAAGAATGATAGTCGTCCTTTATTTATTTTTTTTTACTTTAAATATAAATATTAATTGCATTTAAAATAGTACTGTTAATCATCATATTTTAATTTAAAATCACATTCTCATCAGAATTATTTTCATGTCAATTCGGCATGAAATAGCTCCAATAATATTTGAAAATGTTATATTATAATGTATGAAACATAATTCACTCCGAGAAGAAAGAATAAATTCGATGTAAATATTTATCGGAGGAAAAGGAAAAAAAAAAAAAATCTTTTCTCCACAAATCATATGAAAGTGCATAATAACTTTAAGCACATCAATAAGAAATAAGTTCTTTTTGTTTAAAGTTCATTTTATAGTCTGTTTTCCTTTGGATCATCCTTAGGCATTAAGAGTAAATTCTAATCCACTCCCTGATTTCCTGTTTTTGCCTTTATTTATTAACTGATGAAAGGTTAATAAATAAGAAAAAAAAGGCCAATTAACATAGCTTAGAATATTATAATAATATTCTGTTTAAAAAAAAATAACCGATGTGCAGTCTACAGTAAATAATATTCTCAGTACTGTTACTAACGGCTGGAAACTACTTTGAAAATTTCATTGTGATGCTTATGAGATTACTCTGTGAGACTTTTTCACTATAAGAAGAATAAGGTAAATAAAGGTAAAATAAAGATAATATTTGTTTCAAACAATAACTTGGAAAAAGAAATTTTCGTTGACAATAAAACTGTAACATAATCAGTTAATGCGATCAGAAGGCAAAGATAAAGATCCTTTTGTAATTAAAAAATGCGAGCTCTCTGACGTCATATTTCAGCCTTTTTCTCGCAAGAATAACTAAGAAGTGCAAAAACCCAGAGTAGTTAAATTATGTTTCCAATTTTCAAAGTATTTTCAGATCTGAAATTCAGAACTCAAGACAAGACTACGCAATTAAAAAAAAATATTATTATTTAATGTATTGGTGTAATAATGACAATAAAGTATTCATCGTACTGTGATAAAAACGCACTTATCCGCTTCCGAAGATCACGAAATTTTTTTGTGTCAAAGCATATCCAACAATTTTGCTTCATTACTACTAAAGTTATTATTTAATTATTAAGTTATTATTTTTACTAATGTTTTCAATAATTTTACTTCATTTATCATTCTTAGCCTTTCAAAGACTTCACATTTTAGTATATCAATAAATCATAACAATAGCATTTTAGTATATCAATAAATCATAACAATAGCTTGCCTGAAATCATGAGTTTTACAAATTGAAACTTATCTGTGATAAACTGGAAATAAATTTTAAGAAGAGTATTTTTGAAAGATGTGTTTTGATAAAAGATGACGAAAACAAAAATGTATAAAGGTGTATTTAAGAAGTCTGCTGTTTTAATGTTGCTTTTAATTTTTCTTTTCATTTCTGAATCATTGCTGTTTAATAAACTAATGTAAAGTATTTAATTCTCTTACCTCAAAATATATTTTTCAGAAAAATATCCTTATTTATTGTACTTAAGCTAATTTATAATAAAATTTATTTATTTACTTATTGTTTTATCACTAGACTTACATGTGCTTGTATATGTCTATTTATTAACTTCGCATTCTGAGATCGTACTTCATTTATAGGATTTATACTTATTTTCGAATACTTATAGTCAAAAATACTATAATTATCAAAGCTATATAAAATTTTCATGTTCGAATATGAAATGGGTTAAAATTTTAATACAAGATCTTCAGTATCACATAAATAAATAAAATAAAATTTTAAATTAAAGAATAATAATAGTATTATAACTCTTTATAATCTGTTGAATACATTTTTCATTTTTTTTGTATACCAATGTTATTAAACATAGTGTTTTACAGCATATCTATGAGTAGAGAAATAACTTATAGAGATTGGAAAATTATAATGGGATTTCTAACTCAAGAAACGAACCAAAATATAATAACTAAGTATTTTCAGATACTAATTTCTTTTATATGAGTTTAATTTAACCAATTTGAATTTATATCACATGAATATTTTCTTAAGATATACGTTCTTCTATGAATATCGTTTATGATTGCTATATCTACTGTAAATAAATTATAAAAAAACTGGGAAATATTAAGGGATCTTCTTTATTTCAATTCATGTTTTTTAAAACATAATAGGTTTCATTATACAATTTTAGCATCCGCCTAGGATGGTTTAATATACTTCTACTAAATTATTAGCTTAAGTTTGTTGTTAATCGCTTATGAATACATTTAAACGTTAAGTTGAAGGAAATAATTTTCAGAAGAATGGAAATCAAATATTAGTCTGAGCAGAATATTGTGCTTTGAAACTTAAGCGTCAAGTTTCAGTGTTTGCATGTCATTCGTAATCATGACAAATGTAAACTTTGAGTAGCAACATTTTCCTCTTCATATATGTGAAAGTTTTTGGCATTAAAATAATGCGAGTTTTAAGCAAGACAGCAAATATACAGTAGTTTTCGAAAGATTACTGAAGCTATGAGGAGCGTGAGTAAGATCGTCAGGAACAAATTCGATGGAATAATATTCCTTTCGTATTTAAGTTTTTTAATACTTAGGTAAGATATCTGTAATTTTTGTCCCTAGATATGTGACAGAACATTTATTTACCTGAAAAACGCAAAGGCTGAAGAATGGAATAGTCCAGAGATTATATTCAGCAATACTTGGTCTGTGAAACAAGAAGAAAGCTTAAATATTTTAAAACTTTATATCATCGAAAGCAATACATTAAGTATAATTCTTGGATTAATTTTTGCTTTCTATTAGTAACTACAAACTTTGGAATATCAAAATATAACACAGTATATAAAGCTTTATAAAACTGAAAGGTGGTTTAAATTCCTTTTACGATCATAAGGAAACATTATAATAATAATAATACAGAAAATGAAACAATTCCAAATCTTCTGATTAAAATATTTTACAATTAAATCTTTTGAACAAAACCATGAAATCGAAATATTTGCAGCCATTCTCATTAAACTATGTACTAACCATATATAAATTATTACAGAAATTCGTTAACTTTATTACGGAAATTCGTTAGGTATAGGGCTTGAATCTGAGTTTTAATGAAACGAAAGAATTTATTTCAAGATTTAGTAATTTAAGAATCTTTTCCTCCATGTCCAACGTCACTCAGTTCGCCAACAATAATGTTTTCATCGGGAAGCTGATAGCGGATGCGCTTACTCTACATATAAAAAAGAATCCTTTTTATAAGCAACTAGCCGCTACGTGTCCAGCCTTCGTCTGGCTTTTAAATGTACCGGCAAAATGCCTAAATGGAGCACCAAACATTAAATTTAAAAACTGCACAAAATTTTACTCTTCAGAACAACTTACTGAGCAGAATTCTGAGAAAGAGATTTTGAAAAGTTTTCATAGAGTAAGTTATATTATAAGAACTCAGGTTGCATACTTGAATACATACAGATCACTTCAGGAGAAAATCTCGTGAAAATAGAAATGATGCTAGATATTGGTTATAAACTAATTCAAACTCAGCAGTGAATTAGTAATAAAGTATCCCATTATGGAGATACAACAGAAGTTTATCCGAGTACTAGAGAATAAATTTCGTGTCACAACTCATTCACAACTGAGAAAATTTGGCATTTAAATAGCAGATAGATGCATTTTCGGTACCGATAAGCTACATCGTATTACTTCATTATCAAGTAAAATTAAAATGCATACCCAATATTATAAAACGCTAACTGATACCAACACAGAGCATATGATGGCCAATTTCCCAGTACTTGATTTTTTTTATTACCAATTTCTCTAGTTTTATTTATAACGTAATACACAATAGAAAATGTCTATATTATGAGATTCAGTCACACTTTCAGCTATGTAAAACAATCGTAGAGAAAATACAATGAGTATATGCATGCCTTTCCAAATGTAGACATTTGGTTCATACATATGGTTAATATTAAAGATAGTAGGTTTCTGAACTTAAGTGTTAATTTTTGCAGCCGTCTGTTAAAAAGGTCTATTTTTTTTTTAATCTGAAAGCTTTCAGATTTTACATTACGCGAAAAAGAGCGTTTTTTTCATGTTCTCTATGCTACCTTTATTTATTAAATTTCATTTTCTTCGCACTTAAACCATAAAATTCAGTTCAACAGCAATATCGCAATATAATTTTAAAATGAGCCTATCTTTAGAATTTCCGATACACAGTCTCGCGAGTTGGAGATAAAAATGTGTCTTTGTTTCCGTACAGTGTTGCCATTGCTTGCTTTGAAATCGTTAAGTTTCTTAATAAAAAATTCGTTAAAGTGTTACAAACTATGAAATCGAAAATAAAACAAATTTGGTCTTCCAGATATCCAAATTCGGTGGAGAATTACGTTATTCAAAATTTGATGGCTCTAGCTACCGTTTTTTCATCACAGTGCGAAAAATATACATGTAGTTTTGCAGATTCTTCATTATTTAATTTCTTTAAATGTAATACAGGGCGATAATATTTGGTGGCAAAAGTTTGAAAAGTGATATGTGTATTTGCAGTGAATCGGAGCAAAATGACAAAATGAAATTAATAGCCCTTCTGAGGTAACTCTCCTTTGAGCTAATAAAAATATACGAAAAAAAGAAAGGTTGAATGCCTTGTTTCTAATTTAATGCAGAAGAATGTGCTTTAACATAAGATTAGTTTTAAGGATCTAACCGAAGTCTTTGAAACTATAAAAAGGAAGAAAAAAATTTTCAAATGTAAGTTTTTTCTTACTCTTATTATTTCCAGCCATACATTATTTTATAACTAATAAATTTCTATTTAATACATTTGTATTAAAAGAAAACATCCTAAAATAAACATTATTTTCGATCTTACTATAAATTTTGGTTTGTATCGAAAAATCAAATTTTTCATATCAATATTAAATTTTCTAAATCGTCTATATATGCGGACAGAAATGTCGCTCACGTGTTTAAGACATCCCATTATGCGTGCCACGGTTTTTGGAATAGTTAAAAGTTATTATTATGATTATCACCATTATCAGATCAATCCATTAGTACATGTAAATATGTATTATATACGCCACATACATTATGTATATCATTAATACATATAAGAATAATATTTAGTTTATGAATATTTTTAACTTATCGAGTATGTTAGCATGATTTTCGGAATCTAACAAAATATATAATCAAAGGTGAATTGTTTTTAGTACAATATTTGTTAAATATTGTACTAAAAACAAAAACCGTAGATATATTATGTGTTGTGATAAAATGGCTATTATTTTGCAATAAAGCTTGCATTTCTTTAAGTATTTCTACAGCTCTTTCTTGTTTGCTTCAAATATGATTTTGGAAAAAAAAATTATATTAATTGTGATTATTGTTAAAATGAAATTTTTTAGTGTCACCTTTTTTGGTAATCATAATATACCTACGTAATATAATATAATATAATATAATATTGTTGCGTGCGTACGGGTTCATAATAGATTGAATGCACAAGCCCAATAATGGGTTAATAAAATTTATTCTTATCAAAACAAAATATATCAGAACTTTGGAATTTTCCTCAGAGATTTTTGTACAGATGTTCACAATATCACGCGATGTAATAAGTAGTTATACTTGAAACTACTAAAAACGAAAATACAACGTAATACAAAGCGCATCTAAAGAGAAAGCTAATCTCAGTTATCGCGGAACTAAACAACTCGCAACAACAGTAACTAAGCAATTTTACTCACACGCTCTCTCTTCGGCTTTTATTGCTTTTAAACCGGTCGCGAGATATTTATAGTACTTTCTGTTTCTCGAAATTACTGAAAATCAATAAGATGATGGAATTACTGTTACAGATAACATCGTGGTCAATTACATTTATTCAATTTTAATACAAGTTACCGAGATACCCATTTAATCATTTTAAATGCATGTGCTCCTGTATTCTTACTTTTCCGGCATAGCATCTCTCTTAAAATGTCTTTCGCTCTGCATTGCACGGGGAAATGCAATAGTTTTAATTATAATTCTACTAAAATTAACTATCTAAATACAAAATTGATAACAATATTATGAAATATATAGTTAAAATATTTCATTTGTTTCTTTTAAGTACAATGTTTTTATTGAAGAACGTTGTTCTATGCAAACAAGATGTGATAAATCACAATTGTTTTTAGAGGCAGTAAAGCATGTACTCTTTCACGGGTATCTTCTCTTGTGTATCTAATTAATACGCAATAGTAACTTAAAATAATTTCTTTATAATAATAAAAAGAAGAAATGATTGCTTAAACTAGCTAATTTTTTATTGTTTTTTATATCTAAATTTATATGATGAAAATGTTTTAATTGCCTGCAGCACGAAGTCTGGCTTAGTATCATAAACATTAAACTAGTTGTTAGCAAATAAAAGTTAATAAAAAAGAGACCCAACTCACAATCCCCTCCCAAAGTTCTTAAAAAAAAAGGAAATTATATAAAATAAAATGATAAGTATTTGAGCAAAAGAGATTTTTGAAAAGCATCAACTCTTTTATAGTTGGTCACCAGTTGTTTTTACAATAAGAAACTAAAGTATATTCCAAATAGGAAAACCACAGAATCACGAAAATATGCATTTTATAGATGTTGTAAAGCAGAATCCATCTCAAATGTTTCCTTGTGATGCAATGTTAAAAAGTCTTCCACAAAGGCATCCCTCTCTTTGAGCAGATAGCCGGAGAGTGTTTTGCTATAATCAAATAAACCAAACCAACCTTTGATGCACTGACAAACACATCCAGCTAATAAATGCAAGATTATCGGCGACAGCGCAGTTGATGTTTTGGTGAAAGTTTACAATAGGGTGATCTTAATATTTTTGATGATTTTTTAGGAAGCCAAGAATGGCACCAAAAAACAGTGTTTCCAAGATGACTGACCAAAACAACGCCAACAATGTATGTTACGAAAATAACAAAAGTACATATCTTGTGTATTCTTGGCTACGTCTCATCGTCATCGTCAGATGACTGATGCACGTACAAAATACAAATCATATAGTTCTGGAATTGATCCTCTTTCTCCTGATCCCGGTATTGGTGACGCTACATATAAACTCCGCAAAGTAGGAATTCAAAATGTCGTTCGACGACTGCCGAAGACACCGCTTACGAAATGTGGAGCCCCTTAATGTGGCTCCACATGCCTTCAATGGTGTTTGTATGAGCGCCTGTTTCGAGAACTTTCTCGCGACAAACACACCCATAGCCATCCGATTGATCTTTAAGCTCAACCAGATGCATATCGTTCGTACTAACTTAAGATTCATAGCGAGAATTAATTAAACCTTCATTCATGCACTAATCAGTTACAACTTTCTTACCCTTTCGCTCTAAATCATAGGGGTGGGGAATGCGCATTTGTCTTGTCATACGGTAACTTTTCGTGGAAGTGATGAGACAACGATCAATTAAAATTAGCCAGCAACTGAAAAGGTCAATTAACGGTAATTCCAATTCCAATAATTCAAAATACGTAATCACATATGTAACCTTCGATCACTAAACTAAGAAGTTCCAATCAGATTAAACTAAAGAAAAACACTTGCACGTTATAATAAAATGACTGCCATAACATTTGAAAAACAGAGTAGATTCTGAGTTACCAAAAAACTAGTAGCAGCGTCTGTATTTAGCGCCAAATCATAGGAAATCCTATTCTGCACTAGAACCGATATTTCACATATCGGTTCTGAAGAAGCCTGATATTCTCTAAAAACGGATATGACAGATAAAATAGTACTTGGTGGTAACCTATTCAGTACTAATATCACCTATGCTTACAGAAGCGTCGCCACGGTAAAAGACGGTTATGTTTAACTTTGCAATGTGAAACAAACATACGCAATTCAGCGTTATGTGGATGTCAAATGTTTCTTACCTTTTTTAGGAATGGCGAATTCAATTTTGAAATGAAAACGAAGGCTGCGCAAAAATAGAGGGCGTCTCAGTTTTGTACCATAGTTTGCTGATACTATAGTTATTTTGACATTTACAAGGATGTCAGATTCGTTTTTATGCAAGTATTTTCAGAGGCAATTTTGTTGCTTAGATGCACAAAACATACTTAATTTAAAATTAAAATAGGTAATTTATGAAATTAAAACAAGACTTCAAAATTAAACTTTTATGAGGAGAAATGAGAAATAATCGCAGATTTTGGTTATTTACTATTCTTACTAGCCTCGTACTTAGCCAATGTACTTAGCTTCGATTTCTCTTTATATTGTCAATTATGCTCGTAGTCATTTTATTTCAGAAACAAGCTATTCAAAGGAAAGAATGTCGTAAACATAAATCACAAATTCAATTACAAGAAAAAAGGTTAATAGAAGAGAGAAATACAACAATTTCAGACGAAAGAAAAGCTGTCAGTACAAACTAATGTAGCAGGACCCAAATGTTCGTTACTCAAGATATCCCGACATTTCCTTAAAAAGATTTTAACAACCAACGTATACCTTCTTCCCTATCTTCCACTTTCTATTGATCAGAGTAATTCCAGTATCTGACTGGGCGGGGTAATGCCAGATAGGACATTTAAGGTTAAGCCAAAAATCACAGTTAATTCGATAGCACTTAAAAGCAAATGGAGGAAAGAGAAATAACCTGCATTATAATTAACAAAAATACAGTCAACTATTTATCTCTATTTTTGAGCACTTTAATTAGGAGAATAAATTTATTCGATCATGTAAATTAGATAAACATTAAAAATAAGGAGAATACACTTAAAAATCAAACGGAAAAAAGACTCCTCCCCCCATATTACTCTTGTTTTTTTTATAGCAGTCAATGAGATTAATAGCTAATGAGACAGAGGATTAATAGCTGTGCACGTTTTGTTTTTGTGATTTAGAAATTTTTTTTCAATAAGTTATTTAACAATATTTATATATTTTTGATCACATATACAGTTAAATGGCACACTGTTTTTGATAAGTATAATTCCTAAATATTATGGCACCATCTGCTATCACTGTTATTATCTCACTTATTACCTTCTCCTTTTTGCATGTCTCTAGTAAAATTTCTTTTATTCTGATGATTTCTTTTGACAAAGCTCAGATACTTCCCAATGTGGTTAATCGGGTACTGACCGTACTTATTACGTTTACTTTCGTAATAATAAATTAAAAAAATACCATAAACAGCAATTCTTGTCACATTTGAGATTCTTACTTTGTATTTGGCATTTTACACTGGAACGCTTAAATAAATTATATGGAAAATAGCCTTAAAATTATTTTTTTGTTATTCTGCTTTAAGGAAGAATTTATTTAAATCATTTTTTTTAAAATTTCAGGCTCGCTATGAGGGTAAAAAGCAGTCTACTAAAATGGTTGGTAATACTGCTGTTCGTATCCCAACTTGCAAAAAGTGACTCTTTCTATAAACTTGAATCAAGAAGCTCGACTTGGAATACGAGAAATAGAAACGGCTTATCGGTCAAGTCCCCTTTTCTGGAAGTTATACGGCATAGAACGTTAGATATAAGGAACAGCAGTCCAGAAACGTTGAATGATGTTACAGATTTCAGAAACAGTTTTGTCACTTTTAGGACACGAGTTGATTATAGAGTGCTTCGAGCGAAAGACATGGCTGTAAGTCCGACTTTTAGGTTAGGCTCCCAAAAGTCTGATGTTCCAAAGGAAACAAATTACGGAAAAGAAACCCCACTTTTTGAGAAGAAAATGGATACAGCAAATTTGAAAAGAAATGGATTATTTCGAAAGACCAAAAACACAGCAGTTCAGATAAATGGGAGGAGGCTATTGATCAGAAGTAAACAACCGAAAAGCGATGGTATTAGAAATGTAAGGACAAAGATGATTATTGATAACAGCCTCCAAAGCAGATCTCTAACTTCTTTTGATAACCACAGAAAATCACTGGTACGTAGACAGGATTTACGACAAGTCCAAGGAAAGCAGGTTATTTCTGACAGAAAATTCTATATGATTAGTGCTAGAAAAATGAAAGATACTAAACAGATGATAATGAAAACTACTCCAATGGATATTAAGCAATCAGAAGCCAGGCTTTATTCATTTGAGTTCTTTTCACCCTCTTCACAAAGAAACAGTATTTTCCGAATTCATGCAAGTGGTATGGCTAAAGTTAATTTAAGAATAAATAATAGGAGAAACAGTCAGATCAGTAAAAGTTCACTAAGGTCTCGGGATGGTGCCCGAAATAGTGACAGAAGAATAAATTTGTCACATCTAATCGTTACACCTGATGGAAAAAGTATTAATAGAAACCCTGTTTATGAAAATAAAGAAAGGATCCCTCAAGGCAAAGAATTTGAAGTATCAACAATTAGGAAAAAGGTGGTTACAGAAAGCATAGCAGCAATATTTAAAAAAAGATCTATTAACATACTGAAGCGTGATTCTCGAAGCATCTTCTCGGTTAGACACAGTGCAACTCAAAGATTTTCCACGACTCGAAAATCAAGTTCAGAAGAAAACTTTTCAACTCAGCATTACAGAAGAAAGAGTTTAAGTGATGAATTGAGAAGAAATACAAGACGTGACAATAATTCGCGAATTTCGAATAATAATATGGAGAACAATGTTCTGCAGGATAAACACAGGAAAGAAACTGATCTCGGTCACCAGACTGGTCGGAGATATCAAAGAATACTTCACTCTAGATCAAACAGACGGCAGAATGATCAGCAGCGATGGAATATCAAGAGTGGTGACGAAATTAGGACTACCAGAAGGAGACAAAACTTTGGAGTCCAGAAGATAGATCTAAACAGAAATCTTCGTATTCAACATTTTAGAAAAACGTCAGGCTTATATTCAAGAAAGATGGAAAATACTATTAGTTTTACTTCACAAAGATATTTGAACGATAAAACTGGTAAATATTCTGGATATGTAAAGGAATCCAAAAGCTTATTCACGACTAGTCAAAATGATGAAACAGCGCATGTAAAACAGATGTCTAGAGGAAGGTTACATGTAGCTGATAAACAAGCACAAAGAAATTTCAAGAATTTCAGAAATGAACACACCAGGGAAACCATTAATGATCCTCGTCCTCTTGATGACGTAACATTTGATAAGACCTTTGATCATATTAGAAAGAGAAGAGATAACAATGTTGATGCTTTACATGCCGTTCGTTCATCTAAGAAATTGAGATCAAATATCTTGAGGAGAAACGAAAGAAGAGAATACTACGCAGGTACTTCAAGAAGAACAGTCAAATCTTCCCAAGAAGAGGTAAAAATCCAAAATGGGCCAAATGAAAGACTGTTCATCAATAATAATATAGAAAACGACAATAATCTAAAAAAATTCCGGAATGTCTATAAAACTATTCTGAGTCGCCAAAATGGGAAAAGATTTCGAGAAATGCCCCTAGAAGAACGATATGCCAACCAAGAACGATGGACATCAACAAATGATTTCGGAATTCGAAAATTTGAAAGAATAAGACCTAATAATGTGGAAATTAAACTCTTCCAGAATTTGGATAGAGTCATTCTGAACTGCCGAAATGGGAGAGGTTTTAGAGGAAAGTTCCTAGAAAGCCGATATGCCGGCCACGACCGACGGACATCAAGAAATCACTTGGAAACTCGTGAAAACAAAAGATTGGGAAACAGAATAGGTGTTCTTCGTAGAAAAGACTATCCGAAGATTCAAGATAAAAACATGAATAAAAGAAAAATTTATAGAAATACAAGAAAAATCTTCATTAGCATAAGTAGAGAATTTTTAAGAAAAGAAAGAAGCTTGAGGTTTGGAAACAGCATGGACGAAGTAATCGACGCTCAAAAAACAGTCGTAATGAGCAATGAAAAAATAAGCAGAATGACTGTAGAAAACAATAAAAACTTTCCTTCTGAACAAATGCAGCTAATGAGAATTTCAGTGAACGGCGATAGGAAACAAAGACAACAGCGTGAAATTTCAGTTTCTAAAGTACGAATAGAGAAATATATAGCTTCACCTATAAAGCAAATATATCAAAAGGATAAAGATTTTACTGCAATTAGAAAACTTTTATTTAGAGAACAGAAGCTGGATGTTCAGACGCATCGCACAACAATGATTAAAAACAAACGACTGCTTTACAGACAATCACGTAACTTGCAAATTAGTAGAAGAGAAAATTCAAGATCTGGGAGAAGCTCTACAATAATCAAACGAAATGATATGCGGGATGTATCTGAAGCACAGTTCACCACTCAAAGGTATTCTAGGTATTCTGATACTCGCCTACATTCAGAAATAAGATCTCACAAACGAATTAAAAACTCCGTACGAAAGGTGTCTCTGACCAACAATCGCTTTTCAAATCAGTTTGTTAGTACAATCAGCTTGGAAAGAAGCAGATTTTCAAGTCTTCGAACTGAAGGTTACAGAAAAGTATCATTAATACAGCAAGCTACAGTTTTAATGGAAAAGGATCTTTCAATTTCTGGAACTATAATAAATAATTACAAACTTCAATTTAAAAGTACGTTTTCAGGAAAATTTTATTTAAGTGAGAAAGATATCACCCGTTGCTACAAAGTAGATTCATTTGAAAATTCTTCATTCACAGAAACAGTAGTTTCTCGAGCATTTTATGAACAACAAAATTATTTTAAGCCTATTACTTTTGCTGATGTTCAGAATAATACACACCAGCCGGATTCTCATAATTATAATATTTTTTCCATCTTAGGAAATTCGAAACAGAAATTCAGAATATTACGTACTTCTAATGGTGCAAGCAGTCAAATTAGAATTGTCAACGATGTCCATTCACATCATTACGCAAGGACAATGTTTCACCATTTCCACGCATCCCCTACACAAACTGTAAATATACGAACTAGGTCATCATACTTCTCCTTTCCAGTTAGTCAACGAAGAAACAAAGTATTCAGAATGAAAAATAAAAGCATTAGATTAACTAAAGGATATACCCCATTCGAATCTAATTATTTTGGAACTTCCTTTTCAAAAAGCCAGAAGAACAGAAATATAAAGTTATCGAAAGCTATAACTGATTCTACTAAAACCTCGCCTTTACACGAATGTTTCATCGAGCTGCCTGTGCATAATATTGCCAGCTGTATATCGTTCAAATCGAATTTCAGCCACAACGAAGGAAAAAACATCTTTAGACCACATATGAAATCTAGTATTCTTTCAGTTTCACGCTCTTCAACGAAGTCTTCCAGAGTTAGAAGTTTGCCTGAAGTAAGTTACATTAATTCAGTTCTGTAATAATGTTATGTATAATTTGTCACCAGTAAGTACTCAGTTCAACTTTATAATATAAGTAATGTATCTTAGAATTTAAGCTATGTAACTAAATTTGTAGAGAATCACCTTTCTCAATTATCAAAAAGTGCATTGTAAATCAAAACTAGATGCATTCAAAATATTAAAATTAGCACTTAATACAAGTCGCATGTGCACTTAATGTTTAATAAGACTGCAAAATTGCAAAAGTTTTATATTATTATTTAGTGAAAATGTTTTGCTTTAATTTAGACTGAATTTACAATTTTCAGAAGTGTTGAATCTGAAATCATCTTAATGTTTTACCCACTACGCACATTTTTTTATTGTAATTTAGGTTCACCTCTTAATGTTAACTTATTTTTTAATTCTTGCATAACCTGTTCAATTCAGTAAAGAATAATATAATAAAAAAATCATGTCTTCCCAAAAAGTAGAAAATACTATATATATGTTTCAATAGAAAGCACTTTTAAAGAATATAAAATGCTATATAATTTCACGGAAGACGAGGAGCTGGAATAAAAACTGTTCCAGCTAGAAGGAGTTTTGAATATATAAGTGAGCACATTATGCAGTGACTCTACACAGGGTGTATCAGTACAGAATTGACAAACTTTCAGGAGAGATAGAGTACACCTAGATGATGGGAAATCCTATAGGAATGCATGGTCGGAAACGCTTTCCTGGCGCGATAGTGACGACACAAATGTCAATAAAGAATGGACACGAACAGGGTGAGAAAACATGTTTATTATTCGGAGTATAACACAAACAAAGAAAAAACAACTTAAAGAGACAACGATCATCATCAAAGAAATTAGTCAAAATTACGACCCGGACCTGCTACACAAAACATAATAAAACATGTTTTGTGTCCTTCCTTTTTTGTTTTTTATGTCGTCACTACCGCGCTAGGAAAGCGTTTCCGACCAAGCATTCCTATGTGACTTCCATCCTCTAGGTATACTCTATCTCTCCTGAAAGTTGGCCAACGCTGTACTGATACACCCTGTATATAAGTATACCTTTCAAAGTTATTTAGAAGACGGTGTAAATGGAAAGGTATTTCAAATTCACTTTCTAATCTGCCTTCATCGGAGTGCTTCATTTGTTAGAAGAAATTTTGCCTGATCCTGAGTATTTTTCAGTATAAAGTAAAATAAGCCCCCCCCCCACAAAATTTGGAAAGTATTCTGTGCACATTAAAATAACAACATACCCTAAAAATACATGTGATTACCGTAGACGCCTTTAATGTGATTAAGTTATCCATACCTATTTTTATAATAATGATCGAATTATATTATTAAGCGATGAACAAGAATATCCTTCTAGCAATTGAATTTCATTATTTTAATACAAAAATAACAAGAAACATTTAATAAGTATTTTCACAGCATTTTAATTTTTAAAAATGCAAAAGTTTGTTCATGAACTGCTCATTAATGTCCTTTGATGCAAAAGTTCATTTACGAACTGTTCCTAACGTTTCTGGAAATTATTTGACCGATGCAAGTACTCCTAATCTTAATATTCGGAAGGCATCCCTCATTGGAAGAGAGCATGTCAATGCAAAATTTTAGTTTAAGCAAAAAAGCAATCTTAGTTTGTGTCAGGATTTTTTTTTTAAGAGAAAAGAAAAATTCTGTAGATTTTTTTTTACTCCTTGAAGAAAAAAGGCTTGGGTCAGATCACCTTCAAAATCTACGTCAGACCAGGGTTGCATTTTTGTCAAACTTTTAATGAATGACTAAAACCGAAATTAAGTTATATGGCAACTTAACTTTTCATATGGCGACATTTCTCAGTAACTTGGCAATTTTGTAAACTATTTTGACCTTATTCGGCAAATTTATCCTTCATTTGGTGACATTACTTTAATTTAATTTTTTCTTTTACATTTAAAAATTTTCTATAATAGTTTGATCATATTAACCGAATTGCTGATCACAATCAGCGATATATTTTCCATCTTTTCGTATAAAAACGTGAGGGGCATAGGCTAATCAATAACAATATCCGAATGATAACATTAATCGCAATTACATTAAGGGGCGTCTATTGTATAGGTATTAAAAGGTGTTCCGAAAGAAGACACATAGAACTGCAGAAAAAGAAAGTAAAAGGTGATTAAATTTATATAAATGTAATAATAGTTAGAAAAATATTAGTAATTTTTAATCTAAATACTAAAATAGATTGAAAGATGAGTATAAAACTAGTGCCCCATACAACTAATTCTTCTTCTGTAACCAAGTCAAGGTGCGATTCTTACAACTTGAGGTAAGTATTTATTCTTCCTTTGTGTTAATGTTTCACAACTTGAAGTAAATATTTATCCTTCCCCTCTGCTAACATTTCACAAACTCTCGAATATGCTTATGGAATAAAATACAGTTTTTAAGGGAAAAGTTTTAGTCAAACACTTCTCACTGTCTTCACGTTTGCTTCTTTTCCTCTTATGTGATACATCGCTGTGTACATCCAATAGTAATCTGTAATTATATTTATATTTTAAAGACTATCTTTTTCCTGTTTCTCTAATCTCTTCTTGCCTTCACTCACTGCACTAATTTTTTTAGAAAATGTTTAGGTGTGAAGTTTTATACTCACTCAACATCCTAAATATTCCATGTTTCATAGCATGTATGATCGCATAGTCCTTATCGTTCACTCCAAAAATTTAGTAATGACAGGTAACAACTTCATTGACGTCAAGTTCAAATTTTCACAAAATATTAATTTTGTAATAACTTGCGAAAAGAAAATCTCTTCCTATTCAAAAGATTTTGAGAAAGATATCGCCATCCATATTTTAGCACCCTATCAAGATCTTTTATTGCGCTGAATGGGGTAACCATGTTCTACAGCATTCAAGCTAATCAAATCATTTAATTTACTTGTTTTGCAGCAGCATGTTATCATCACAGGATGCCTGATGACGAAGGGTTTTTATCATTTCTAAAATGAATGCATTCTCGAGAAGACTTGGAAAATTCCTTGTTGAGGTGCAATAATATCCTTACAATAACGCTGAGCGTCACGACCTCTTTCCCATTACCAGTAACTCTGTATAATCACTACGTTACCATATCCCACATCATTACTTAACTACCTTTTTTCCAACCTCAGCGAGGGCCCAACAGCGGCCGAGCGGTAATGACGCTGAACACTGGTAGTTCGGCCCGAGGTACGGATCCCGCGAACGGGCTGGCTGCATGGGCGTTTTCGTGATTTCCCCCATGTGTAACGTGTATACGAGCCATTTTTCTTTAAAACGTCCCCCACGAAGGCATCCCTCCCTTTAGGCAGATAGCCCTCGTGTGCTTTGCCATAATTGAATAATCCAATCCAACCTCAGCGATGTTTTGAGGGAAACAGACAGAATGACTTAACACCAAATGCATTCCCGCTTAGAACAAGACGGTACACAATTGCTAACAAAGCGTCAGTCCATTGCTAGGCTCTATTTGAAATGATAATCATCATCAATAATGAACTGCTCTTGCATAAAGATAGCAATATAACATAATTTACTGGGTTGTAAGCGTACAGTGATCTCATCTTTTCATCACTTCAACTTTTCAGATTATTACTAATTGTCTTATCAATTTGCTAAATGCTTAATCATTTGTTAAAAGCTACTTGCCATTCAACAGTATTAATTTCTGCCATCTAGGGAACGGTGTATATATTTAACGTATATATATATATATATACGTTTTAATTTAAATTGCAAGCACGTCGGGAAAAGAGACATATTGAGACATTACTAAAATAAGATTTTTTTAATTAAGTAATTTTATTAATGAATTACCGCTTTAAGTCTCAATTGTTTCCTTTGAAGAAATGTGCTTATGGTATTAGCTAAACTGGAGTTTTCTCATGCTTTTCCCTTGATAACTCTGTGTGAAACCTCGAATTTGGCTAATTGATAATTTATTCCATTCATTGTATATTATTTCTTTGTCTTTAAAATGTTTTTGATTGTTTGCGAACAAAATTATGTTTTTCAGTTTTATTTATTTATTTTTTAAAATTTTTCAGTCTATTCTTATTTCCAATTTTATTTTTGTAGATTAAATTGTTTAGTAGTTATTACAGGAGATTTTTTTCGCGTAAACTTTAAATGCTTTAGTATTGTATTATTGTTTTTACTTGATGTTACTTGTGTACTCTGGAACTGCAGTATCATATTTACTTAAAGCATTAGCAAAACATTTTTAATTTCCTCTTCTGTACTAATATGTATATATGTAGTATCCGTAAGTGCGACACAACCACCAGAGGGCCTCACCGATGCGCCAGCAGCGAGGTGAAAGATGAGTATGACATAGACAGAGAGACTCTTGTGCTATCCCACGCGAAGGTGGTGAGCTGCACGTGAAGGTGTAGAATAAGGAACTGTAGTTTTCCACGCGAAGGTGGTAAATTGGACTGTACTGTTTAATACATCAGCAAATGCGAGTAGGCACTAATCGGTTATGTGATAAGACTGGTAAAAGCTATACATAATCCTCTTTGTATCAAACGGCACTTGTATTTAATCTAATTTGTACCTTTTCTGATTATCTTTATTAAATGTTCTGTGGTGTGGAAAACAAAGTTGGAACTGTTATTTAGCATCTTCAACTCCCCTACTACATATATATATATATTAATTTGGGGATTTCCTCTCTCTATCTTAAAAATAACACTATTAGTCTAAACTGCGCCATTCAAATTAATCATGCGATCCTACGTAACGCTTAATGCATATACATCTTGACCATCACCAAATTGTAAACCAAAACTTTTTTTAACTCGAACTAAAACTAAGAAGAAGGAATGTAACAAAATTATCTTAAATCCGGCCATTTCTGTATTAACAAGTTTCTTCGCTAGGCATTTATTATGCCACCGCCAAGTTCCAAATCATTCGTATCATGTCATACATAAGTCATATTCGCAATGGACAGTCTATCGGTTATCGGAGGTTGGCTGCAGCTCTAAACTCCAGGGCGCGCGTCTGAACACTATATAGAGCTAGATTATTTGTGTGATTTCTTCTCAATTGCTTCTTGTTGTGTATCACGGGAAAAACTCTCGGCGATAAGATAGCTAAATGACCATTGCAAATGAGTTTGAACGATTCCATTATTCTGCCATAGCAACAATTATTCATGCAACTCCTTCATGATGTTATGTGATTTGCCCAATAATACGAAACGAAAATATGCAGATAAATTCTATCCAAACCCTCCTGCTTCATCTTTTGTCACCATTCCCAAATCTCCCGCTATCAAGTAATTTTCCACACATTTGTATAATTAACCAATCATACATATCTATCTCCTAATCGATGCCCGCAATAAATTTCCACTTTTGAAAACTTGAGTTTTACCTCCGACCCTTAATTTATGAACGTAAATGTCAGGGCAATCGCAAAATGAGTGATTTTCAAATGCTACCTAAATTTATTTTAAAATTTCTTGAATTTTAATCAACTATGATTTTGAAAATTGATAATCTTGAATATCCCAAAGGTTTTTGTATATAAAGTTCGCTCCCCCATCGCTAAATAATAAATATATATAATAAATATCACTAAATGTAAGGTAATAATACACGGAGATCTCATAAATAATCCTATATATTACTAATTCCTGCCTCCTGTCCCTTTCCTTAGCATTCAGATATTTTTCCCAAAGTTTGCATTTTGCGGTTGAAAGTATGAGTTTAAGATCAATATTTAAGGAAATAAAACTTATTTTGAAGAGCCTGTGCAATTAGTGTGTTATTTACAAACATATAAAATATATGCAATATTTAATTATATTTTATTTAACTTTTGTTTAGAATAAGAGTCCGCCTGTGAATCAGTTCCTATCAGTCACTGATAACGAACCCCAGACACGCTGGTTTGAATCTATAATTTTAAGGTAAGATTTTATCTCATTGTAAATCCTACTATTTTGCTTCATAAGTTTAAAATTCTAAGCATAATTGTACAGTAACAGGATTAATTTAGTTACATGCAAAATACAGTGTAATCAAAAAAAAAAAAAAAAAAAAATAATAAATAAATAAATAATAAATAAATAAAATAGAAAGGAGAAAGAAAGAAAGAAAGAAAGAAAACATCTTGGATGGTACCTTGCACAAGAATTGAAGCTTCGATGAAAACTTCAGTTTTTTTTCAGTTTTTCACATAAATGTTTACCAAAAAAAAAAAAAAAAATTTAAAACATTTTCATTACTAAATATCTAATAAGCTACGACTGTTAAGAAGAAATGTAATTCGTGAAAAAGATAAGAAAAAGTTTTGTAAATTAAAATAAATGCATAAAATTATTAAACAGTGATATGAATTGCTATTGGACGTTGCTCCTTCCCAGTTTTCACATATAAACAGTGGTATACACCATCTCTATGTAATTCGTCTCAATTTGCAGCAACTTGGTCTCGTCTCGTAATAAACATTACCCTTTTACTAAAACCCTTTTCCCAAAAGTTATTTGGCAGGATAATTTTAGACAATATTTAATGCTTTGAGGAGTTTAGTCTATAAATAATCTAATTCCATTACAATTCGTTCATTTAAATGAATAGCAAAGAAATCCTCAGAACAAAGATAAGAATAAATCAGCTGAACAACAGCTGTACACTACATCTAAATACAACGAAATAATAACTTTGTATGCCACTTTCAGCGTGTGCTGAGACTACACATCTGTAAATATTAGGTCTGATGATGCGAGCTGAAGTATTTCTACCTTTCAAAAAGGTGTTTTAATATAAGTTTCTAGGACACAGCATAGGTCATGAAGGAGAATTCATTGCGCCTCCAAGTATACCAGATCTACGATCATTCGACTTCTATAAAACTCTACTTTTGGCCTGTAAGACTTAGGAGAAAGAATCTGACAACTTGTCTTCCAACAAATCCTGTTATAATCTAATGTATGCTACTGTAAAATCAGCATCAACTGGGCCTGTATTTGTCATTAACGTGGATAGTTCTAAACAAGCTTTATAAAATTATCTTTGATGCTGACGATTATGCACCTTGTATAACAGCATGTGAAACAAATGTATTCGCTTCTCTCTATATATAGCACCTCCTAATACCTCGTGTATTGACTATGTAGATTATCTTCTAGTTTTAGGCATTGATAGAGAGTTTTTTATATTGATGCAGTTACAAAATATTTTCTATTCTGCATTTGTTTTCTAAAATAAAAATAAATAGAGATTTGTAATTTTTTTTTTTTTCTGATCATTGTTTTCATAGAATCCTTAAATCTTGCGTACATGTTAATTATTTTCAGTCTCTCCAAAGGGATTTCTAGATTCCATACTTCCCCCTTACGAAACTTTTGACTGAAAAACAAATCTTAGCTTTTGTTGCTGTTTCTGCTCATCAGTAGATTTCAGATCGCGCATACAAAAGGTTGATAAATTAGTAGATCAAGGTCTCTCAGCAGGATCAGCACTGACTATATGGGAATCGATGAAATTTGGAAAGAGGCCAATGATAATGAAGCGGTCGATAACTGAATTTGCAACCGCAGTTCTTTGGCATAATCAAGATCCCATTTATTATAAAAAAAGTTATTTATAAAATTGATAACTAATTGCTTATTGTTATAAAGTTGTATCATACAGCAAGGAAGCCGCCCAAGTGGTATAGTGACTGGAGGAGTCTACTGCGGTACCGAAGGGCCTAGGAAAAACATCAAAAAATAAATATAAAGGAAAAACACATTAAAGATATTTAAAATATTTTATTTATTATTAAACTAGAAGATATATTTATTAAAAATATTTAATATATTTTTAAATCAATAATATAAAAATTAGTTTTTAAAGTCACAGATTTTAATGCAATAAGTGCAATATAAGAAAGTAAAGCACAACAGCATAAGAAAACACAGTAAAAAAATACGAAGAACCCAAACCTGGAATGAAAAATAAGAAACTTGTTGAATATTTTGAAGATGTGATTCAAAAATTATTAGATGTGATTAAGCAGAGTCATCACATTAATTAAGATCGAACTTTCGTGAAATCTGAAAACTTGTTTGCTTGTAAAATAAAAAAATAATAATATGATAAATAATTAAACATAAATTTAACAAACCATCAATAAACCAATTTTTCAAAACTTTTATTCACATTCTTAATCTAATTGCTATCTTTAAGTCATTTATGTGTAATTATGTTGTATACTCAATATTATAAAGAAAAATGTAAAAGGGGATGATGCAAGAAAAAGACCGAGAATCCCCGTAGTAGACGGTCAAATCATGCTGTCACCACTTGGGCTTGAGAATTAAAAATGATAGTAAAACTCTAGTTGAGTTCTTTTCAAATTCTTACATAGGATTATATTGGATTTGATTCCTGGAATTTGAATAGCTGCATGATGCAGCACAAATACAGGCATTTAAAAAAAATTAATAATATTATAAGTCCTTCACAAAAAGGTCTCTTCCTGTAAGCAGATAGCTTCTGTGTATTTATATAATGATGCACAATAAATGAGCCATTACTACATGCTGAAGAACAAATATTCAGATTTTAGTTAAATAGCAGTTGAATAATAATGAGCATATTATAATCACGTTCTTCAGATTTTTTACAAACACGATTATAAAGATAAATGTTTTATTAAAGAATTTATTAAAATTTTTTTAAACTTTTTTTTTTTTTTTAGGAAAAGCAACATTATCTCCTTTTTCTCCAATATTGTCATGGGACTTGGAATTCTGATGGCTGTTTCAGATGATAGAAATAAAGGAATTCAATACCGCTTCAGAAACCGATTTTCCAACTGTCTTGACCGACTCCTAACTCTTGTATGATTTTATGGTACACTTCCAGACTTTCTTGCATACGAAATCCAGATTTTCTTGTACGAAAAATTCTTGCATTCTATTAATTTTGATGTTAACATATGAAAATATATGTTATGTACAGTGTGTTGCAGTTACTTTATAGTTCACAGCTAGTGTCTAGTATAAAATAAAAAGTTGTTCTGCAAGAAAACATAGCTTAGTTTTTATTTGTTTTAAAAAAACAGTTGTACTAGAGAACTGTTCAAAATTACATTACAAGAAATTCTTATATTACAAAAATAAATGAAAATTTCTGTCTTTTCAATTATTTCAGGAATGCAGTTGTATTTCTGTGGGCTCACGATTTATGAAATCCAGAAATTATGACATCTTTAAAAACAAAATTCTGATTTCTTTTTTTTTAAATTGAAAACTGTCCATATTTTTCTACTCTACAGTAAAACAGTGCATTACCGATTGTTTAGGAAAATACAATTGTCATTGAGAATATTATCTCAGAGGCAAAACTAAATTATTTTTTAAAAAAGAAGAAAGAAAAAGTCCTTTTTCTTGTTATATTTTTATTCTAAAAGTTGGTAAGGTCTTATAAGTAAGTATTTTGCAAATGACATTACAGAATGAGAAGCAAGGATGGCTAGGCTAGCACCTCTGCAGTACCATAGGTGATGGAGGTATTGATGAATCTAGTTAACTCTTTAGTTATTGCACCAATTTTCAATTTTCCAATGGGTCAGTCCGAGAAACTCCCACTCCTCTTCCCCTACCATCAACCTCTTGAGAGGACTCTCAGCTCACTACGTATTTTGAGTGCCCCCTTGCTGTCCTCGCACAATTATGCTATTAAAATGCTGAAAAAAATCACCTAGCTAATTACTGTACATATTAACTGTACATCTACTGCTAATTATAACCACCACATCTAGTTGAGGAACTTCAATTTAGGCATGCACTTTCTGTGCACTAATATGCCTGAAAACTAATGTAAACTATATCACTAAAAATATATTAAGGTCGCAGTTAAAGGTACTGTTATTTTATGGAAATTCCAAATGAGGGTAAAAGATTCTGGAAAGTCTCATTCTTGAGTAAAAATTATCATACAATTCTATGATATATGAGAGTTTATCCAGTTCCTTCAGAACTCAAGAAGCCCTTCTAATTTATCAGAATATAGTACACTGTTTATCATAAATTAAGGAAAAATCACAAAAATCACGATTACTGAAAACGTTACATGTAGAACTTTATGAAACTTAACAATCTACAACACATAGTAAGGTATCAAATAACATAAAAAGAAATTACCAGACAAATATGGTAGTATAGAAATTAGCAGATGTATAAAATGAACAAATCGAAGGTGTCAGTTTGCTATAGGAAAAGTAAATTCAATATGGAATTTGATCGCTTCTAGAAGTAATACAGCACATGCAGCGATGTCTGATGCTTTCAATTATGCTGTCTATCAGTTTCATAGGAAGCGAGAGCCAGTGCTCTTGCAAAACAGTTGCAAGCGCGGCAAGGGTCTGAGGGGGCAGGACTGAGAGCAACTAGACGTCTCTCCTAAATCATCCCAAATGTTCTCGATATGGATTCAAATCCGAGGATCGAGCTGGCCACTCCCTGCTCATAATTGCTTCCTGTTGAAGATAATCATCTATGATGCGAGCCCAGTGTGGTCTTGCGTTGTTGCCCATATGTCCTGGGCAACAGGTAAAGCATCACCTATCGCCCTGACACATGGGTGCACAATAAGCATCAAGGATGTCATCTCTATAAACCTGGAGCATTCACTGTTTCCGTTGGACATGGAGACATGGAGGACTGTGCATCCATCCAAAGAGATGCCATCCCAAACACAGACACTGCCTCTTCCGTATGCATCTCTTTCACGGATGTTTGACTGATTATAACGGGTTCTAGGTTCTATCCATATCAAATAATGCCTACTTTCGCGTTCTACACTAAACCTGGACTCACCCGTAAAGAGAATAGCCCTCCATTGCTCAGGCGTCCAGTGGACATGAGGTCGTGCCCACTGCAAACGGTCCCTCCTATGGCGTGACTTGAGCAGAACGCAAATGGTTGTTCGCCTCGCATACAGACCACCTTCGTGAAGCCTTTTACGCACAGTTGACGTTGACACGAACCTTCCGGTGGCTGCAGCAAGGGAGGATCTAAGAGCAGTTCTATTCCTACGTGCACATAACGTCAAATATCGGCCATCGGTGCTCGTCGTAGCAGTTGGCCGTCCTTGGCTGAACCTCCTAGATGCCGAATCTGTGGTCTGAAATTGCCTCCAAAGTCTATGAACCACAGAAGGACTCACATTTAGCCATCTGGCCACTTCTGTTTTACTTTGTCCTGCCTCTAGTCTCCCAGTGGCTCTCCATCGTAGTTTTGCAGGCATATGATGCCTGGAGGTCATTGAAACGAATTGGCCATCTCAGATTTCTGATGTCACTATCACAGTGAAATATGTGGGCTTACTCTCAAACATGGACTTGTATGCTCCCCGCAGATGACGAATTCCGAGTGCAGTGCCACTAATTTGCATATTGAAGGTTTACTCAGCTACTTTTACTTGGCAACATATTCAAATTTTACACGGTTTGGCTCATTTTTGAGGGAGTTATCGCTAATTTTGTGATTTTTTCTTAATTTATGATAACCAGTGTATTTGTTTAAAAGAAAATTAATTTTTGGGAGCATTTGGGCTAAAAATATTTACAAACAGCATATTTTAGAATTTCCGGTAGACAGTCTCATGCCCTAGAGATTAAAATGCTTTATTCCCTACAGAGTTGGCACTGTTCAATTTGAAATTAGAGTTTCTTACTCAAAAATTTATTAAAGTTTAAAAAAGATGAAAGAGATAATAAAATAAAATTTGAAATTAAAGATTTAGTCTTCCAGGTGCCCATATTTGGGTGGGGGACTATGTTATTCAAAATTTGATGGAAACATGCATAAATTATGCAGATTCTTCATTATTTAATGTCTTTAAAAAAATATTTGGTGGCAACAATTGCTGAATCCAGCAGAATCCAGTTACATCATAAAATCCCAGTCAAATATAGATCTTTTCAGCACGAAATCTGAATAGTGTAATTGCACTGTGTGAGGCCAAACAATTATGAGTAGGTACAGTTCTGAACACCACATTCATAATTGCTAATATTTTATTTCAATATTAAATATATCTATTCCGTCAAATTATAAAGACATTCTAAAAGAGTGTTCTGAATACATTATGCATCATTAGGTATGTTAGGATGTACATTCTGAATTGAACTCCAAATATACTTTAAAATACCAGACAGTACATTTTGCTATTTTCAGAAATTTAGTACATCTCCTTTACATCTGTACTGATTCTCGATCATTCTACCTGTCACAGTTTCTCTCCATTCACTGTCTTAAGCCAGACTGTATTCATATATCAGAGTGGAAAATGTGTAATAAATACCTAAGACACACTAGATACATATGTAATTAATACAATAGAATTATGCATTGATCAAAGGTTAAAGAGGGTTATGAATTTAAAATTAGCATTCTTTTCAAAAAAACATGAAACATATTTCTCTCTCTCTATATATATAATGTATGTACTGTTTTTAAGTCAGTGTAAAAATATACTTCAGATATTGTTTACTTCCCCTAAGATTTTGCCAATGCTAAATTTTTTTTTTTTTTTTTTTTTGTGTGTGTGTGTATTATAATGATTAAATTTTTTATTTTACCTAAAAAAATTTATCATTTGAACTAAAATCATTTCCAATCCTTTCCCATTTTCTGTCAAATAATTCTTCATTTACATAACTTGAATAAATCCCACATTTTCATATAAAGCAAATTAAAAAAATTTTATATTACTTGTCATATAGAAATCAAAGTAATTAGCTTCACATACAGGGCAATTACTAGGCCACTGGTGGCCTGTGTACTTTTCTAAGATTGCCGCCCCCAAAGTTTTTTAAAAAAGAGGCGCTCAATGATTAATAAAATATTTATTTCATACTTGCTAAATATTTGCATATGACAAACTGTATAAAAAGTACTTACATATGGCAAGTACTTAATATGAATTTAAAATATTTAGGCGTGATATTGCGAAAGTCCGGCCGTCCCTGATTTTTGCTGCCCACGCACTTTTATGCACTGCACCCTCGCTAGGAGCGGTCCTGTTCACATATAATAAGAATAAAAGGAAAAAGGGACTTCACAAAGCTGCATTGCTAGCTCCCTTCCCAAAGAAGCAACCATTTGCCAAAATTTGATTTTTATCTATTTTTCAACGCAGCGGATTCAGGGACCGAAACCACCATTTATGATATAATATCGATTTTACTGCTGGTTCTTATACTTTCAGAAATCTATTATTTAATGATTGTTAACTACAAAACTATCAATATAACACCTAGATGAGATATTAATTATTGACATATTTATACAGTTCTTTAATGAAAAGCAATGATCTTGGTGTTATAAAGCAGGAAAGTTCTGCCAGCGAAGATATGTTCATAATAAACAATCACTTCTGGAGTTTAGGGATTTCAAAACGTAAGAGAAGAAAACATGGAAGAATGGCAGCACATAGACAAGTATAACGAAAGTTACAAGATTTTATTACATATAATGCTTGTCAAGATACCAAGATTCAGCAGCAACGAATGAAGGGCCAAGACGAAAAAGGAATGCTGATGATACAGATACACAAGTTTTTGAGCTACAATACACTGACACACGTGATGATATAAATTTACACAATAACAATCAGGATTTCAGGATTTAAAAGTAACCAGTAGAAGCAAAGGGGGGAAGAAAAAAATTATGCAATGGCAAAGTAGAAAAAAGAAGAGCTGCAGAGAGGAGCTGGAATTTGTATAAAAACTTTTCGACTACAAAACAATGATAGTAGGATCATATAATTTTCTCAAATACTAATAATAATCAGAATTTTATAATTTAAGATTAACCAATGAAAAAGGACGTCATAGAGGGGGGGAAGAACTACAGAAAGGTGCTGGAATTAGTATGCAAGTTTCTGGATTACAAGCATCAAGAAGCTGAGTTTGATCATGAAGTTTTGAGTTTGATGAGAGTTTTCTGAGGTTTGATGAGAATCATCATGAAGCTGATTAATTTATGAAGTTACTGGGCAACATTCACCAAAACATTTGAAAT